GGGCATGAAAAAGAAGCGAAGCGCGTCGAAGAAGGAAATATTATGAAATTGAATACTTTCAATAGCAAAACGAGGTGGAATTCTACCTATTCTCCCGCTACTGGGAGCGCTTGGATCGCTAGTTGGTGAAGCGGCGGGGATCGCAAAGGCTGTAAACGATACCAAGGCTGCGCAGCGTCAGCTGCAGGAGATGCAACGTCATAATCGCAGCATGGAAGGTCGTGGAATTTATCTCGCACCATACAAACGAGGAAAAGGTGTCATGAGAGGGAAAAAAAAAACGTCGAAAAAATAATAAAAATGCCTACGGGTGTCACCACCAATGTACAATTGGAACAATTGGCGAAACGTATGCGTATTCCGTTCTTCAGAGGCGTTTTCATGCGCGACGTACTGCCTACATCGCCGCGCGTAAACGAGAGCAGAATCGTAAATTTGGATGACGTCGAGGGGCCCGGTACTCATAGTTTTGGTAATCTTCGACCACCCAGCGAATTGGTGCGATATCTCGATAATAATACGATTGAGTACAATCGTACTTCTTATCAACGTTACGATCAGAGCATTTGCGGACAACTGTGTCTACGTTTCCTGCAGACAGTTAACAGCCAATTTAAGGCCCAACGTTCTGCGATCAGTGTCCAGTAATCGTTTTGGTCTTTGACGAAGATGTCGCTGACATTTACACTCACCAGCAAGAGCAACACTCTCGCGGGAAGCTACTTTCCAGCCATAGATTTGAGCGACGGCAATTACGAACTCGGTTTGACAGCCTTTGAAACCTATAAGGGTGAAGTCCCATGGAGGCAGCGTACGGCGTACCGGCGTATGGCGTACAGGAACTAGACCAATCACAGGCTTTACGCCCGTTTCGTTACGCCAGCACGGATGTTACGCTGACTTTTGTAGCGTTCCAACGTTACGTTACACATGTACACACATATAGTTAAGATACATGTTCCTAACCTAAATAAAAGAGTTACATTATTAAAAGCAACACATAATTTAAAATAGTTTTTAAATACAATTTTAAAATGAATAAAAACCAGTCAGGTTGTTTCTTAGTAAGTATCAGTTTATAAAATTTTTCATACAGCGTGACATATAAACACAGAGTTAAAAGAAAACAAAATAAAAAACACATTTATAAATTAGAATTAATTCTTTTTTGGTTTTTTAGGATAATATCTTTATCTTTATTCTGAAAATTGATGTGGGAGCTTTTCAACTACGGACACTGTGTTACACAAAAGCATTCTATTGACTGTATATTACCTAACAAGATATTTTCGAGAATTTACAGTCAATAGAATGCTTTTGGGTAATACAGTGTCCGCAGTTGGAAAGCTTCCATTATCACCCTTTGTCTGGTAAATACACTTTAGGAAGTATATTAATTACAAAAAATTTTTGTTTAGAACATAAAATGTGGTTATTGCGGCTCAATACTAACCGTCGACACACAAGAACAAATTTTGTGTCACAATTGTTTTCAAAAGTATGATGAAGAGAGACATGCTATATCTATAAACGAAGACTTTGTTGCAATTATTGGTAAATGTTGTAGTAATAATTCTTGTTGTAATACTTTATCTTCTTTAAAACATCCATTATATCACATACATAGGTTTACGATGTTAAATTTAATATGCAACTAATTGTATTTTTACAGTTGAAGCCAGCAATGAAATAGTATCAGAGGACACTAGCAATGAACAGTACTCAACAGATCACCGTGATGAGATGCTAATTAACATTGTACAAACAAAACCAGCATTATGGAATTTCCAAATTCCACTTAGGGAACGGACAAAGGCGAAAAAGAAAGCGCTGTGGAAGGAGGTTGAAAATATGTTAGGAGGTTTGTATAAATATATACAAAATATTAAATAAATAAGTAAAAAGTTTGCTAAGTACAAGCTACAATCTATTTTATGAATAGTTAATTTTGTTTATGGTTACAGGGCTCTTGACTATGGATGATGCAATGAAAAGGTGGAAATATCTAAGAGACTGTTATGTGCGTTACAAACGGCAAATAAACACGTATGTTCCAAGTGGATCTGCTGCACAACCGAGTAAAAAACAGAAAGTATTCCGCTTTTATGAAGTCATGCAGTTTATCGATGATCCATTGGAAAGTGCACGGTATATATTTATATATATTCATAAATTATTAATGATAAATAGTGTAAATACTATTACTAATAACCAAAGAAACATTGAAAAGGCTCGTTCTGAATACAAATCGAAGTATCGATATAAGGGCCGTAACGAGCGACACTGGATGTTCGTGTGTGTGTATATATATAATACCGGCCTATAATTATATTTAAAATATTTATACAAAGTGACCCTACCAAAAATTGTTAAATCGAACAAAAAGTCTTAAAAATAATATCATTTATTCACTAAGTATGTGTGTATATATATATATATATA